TTTGTTGGCATTTATTAAATAAATTATCAGAAATTCCTTATAAAGCTTATTAAAATTATGTTTGTATAGTGTTTTTTGAATATTATTTTGCATTTCTGGTTCTGTTGTTGGTGATTTGCCTTTATCTTCAGGTTCTATTTTTTCTAAATATTTACATAGAATATCTGAGTATATGAGTATATGGTGGTTAGCATATCTAATGCAGTCATTACGATGTTTTTAGAAGGAAGAGAGTTCTGTTAATGAAATTGTTGTTGGAATTAATTCTTTAAGATATGAAATGAACTGTTGTCTAAACTGATATTTTAAAGAGTTGCAAACTTTTGTTTTGTCAAGAGCATCACTAAATTGTTAGCTATATTTAGTGTAGAATGACTCAAACCATTCATTGAAATGCTCAAGGGAGTTTTTTAGAGACGATATATTGAATTTTTTAAAGAAGAGAGTTTTAGGAATATTAAAATGAAGTGTAATATTAAATCTGCTATCCATATATATCTTAAGATATTTGTCTTCTTTGTCATAGTCAATAACTTGTGATGTAATTTTGAATCATTTAGAATATAATTTTATATCTTCTGAAAACTTGGCATAGTTGATAGTTTGGTAATTGTTAGATAGGTATAAGTGTAATCAAGCAAGATTAATACAGAATTGTAGTCTGTTTTGTAGTTTGTGAGGTGGAACTGTTATAGATGAAGCAAAAATCTTGGGATAGTTAAGTTTGATAAAGAGGACTGTTGTAAAAACCAAAATAAGTTTCTTGAGTATTTCTTCTAGAACTAAGAAGAGGATAGTAAAAGCTTTGTCAATATCTTGATTATATTCACATATGAAGTCTGTTAAGAATTGAGATTTTTCTCCTACCATTTTGCGAATAATTTGATAGAAGCTAGCTTTAAGAGCTTTATGGTTTGCTATTGCTGCTTTAATCTCTTTGTCTAGATAGAAGTCAAAGAGGTGTAATTTAAGGAAATAAAAAGTTTTTTGAGCAAGTTCTGTTTAAAGGTTTGTGTTTTTTTCTATTTTTTTTGTGACAGAAAATTTAGCTAGCCAGTTGAGTGTTGGTTTAACTTGGTCTGCAGTAGGATTTTGGTCATTAGCTTGTAGAGATTGTTGTGAAGGTTGCTGATGTGTATCATCAGTTAATGATTGTTGTTGTTTAGTATTATCCTGATATAAGAAAGGTAACTGTTGAAGTGTTAAATTTGGTTCTTGTTGGTTTGAAGAAGTATTTTAAACTTGTTGAGAGTTACTGATACTAATATAAGTATTATTGAAATTACTTACTAGCTGTTGCTGTTGGGTCTGTTGTTGCTGCGTTGTCTGCTAAAATTGTTGTTGTTGGGTATTAGGGTTTGAGTAAGAGTAGATTTAAATTGCTTTGAATATTTAGCAGGAGGTTGGGAATGTGATAATGGTGGTAATTGTCAGGATAGTTGGTGTTGAAAGTGTTAGGTGCTTCAGTTAACTTAGATTTTGATAATTCTAGCTTCTCCATATAGGTAAGTTCGTGGTAGTAGTTGGTCATATTAGGATTACTTCTAACAGAAGTATCTTTGTATATATCTATTTTATCTGAGCTTTCAGGTAAAGGTGTTAGAGAACTAAGTTCTGAAGCTAAAGGGTTATAGGCACAAAATTCATTGAGTGATTGTCTTAGTTTAGAGATAAATATAGTGCTATATTCTTAGAGGATCCACATTGTGAATTTGAGAGATTTTCTATACAAGATCTATGGTATAGTTTATTATTGTACATCATAGTATTACTTGCTACTTGGTGTTGATTGTTAAAGACTTTACAATTAATAGGTTGTTTGCAGTATGGGTATATATGTTGATATTGATAGGAGATAGTAAAGAGGTTGGAGAGGGGAAGACAAATTTGGTAGCAGCTGCTAGTTTTTAGGCTAGTTCTGTTTTTTCTATTTGGCTAATGATTTTGATATTAGTAGGTTTGCTGTATTTTTTGTTTTCTTTGGAAATGAAGTAGGTATGGTATTTGCTATATAAATATTTAATGACAGCTGAAGTATTTGGGGCTTCAAAATAGTGGCAGATCTTGGTCACATTTTTGAGTTTAGTAGAAGTACATTCAGTTGGTCTTGTATTTTTTGGGATTGGTCTAGGAATATTAGAAGAATCTTTATAAATTTAAATACTAAACTATTATAATATTTGTTATAAAAATGGTCAAGATCTATGGTATCTGGTTCTGTAGTACTTAAGATAGGCATGGTATTAACAAATTTGCTTAGTAATACTAATTCAAAAGACTTAGTAAAATTTTTAGCAAATAAGGTTCAAATATAAAATAATATAGAATACTTATGACTAGGTAGCAGACTAGAACTGGGGTTCTGAGATTGTGCTGTGGCAACTATGGCTTGTGTGGCTTGTATAGCTATTGTCTAACTTAATATATAACCTTAAAGTAGGTTGGATATAGCTGGTGTGGCTAGTGTGGCTTGTATAACAATTTAGGCTATATACGGCTATGTAAATTAAAGTTTTCTTAATAAAACCAAATTTGTAAAGGCTTTTTTTTGTACAAGAGCTGTGTACGAAACAATAGTTGCAGTAGGCTGTGATGTTGGCTATATGAGGGCTGTTTGCAAAACAATGACTGCAGTAGGCTATGCTGTTGGCTATGTAAGGGCTATATCAGCTATATTAAAAAGTTTGCTTAATATAACCAAATTTGTAAGGGCTTTTTTGTACAAGTTTTGTATACAATACAATGGCTGCAGTAGGCTAAGTTGTTGGCTATATAACTTAAGAGTCTGGCTAGATGTGGTAGATAATCTGATGTTATATGAAAAATGTCTAGGGTGAAAAAGTAGCAGTAAAAAACCAAAGAAAAAGTAAAAAGAGCTAGAGGAGTTAAAGTTGTTTTAAGTGATATTTTGGTCAATATTAGGCTTATGGTCTTCTTTTAGAACTTGTTATAACCATAAAAATAAGCTTGACAACTTTTCTTAATGACCCAAGAAAGGTTGTAAAGAGAGTTTTCAAAAAATTGAGAGAAAAAACAGTTTGGAGGCCAAAGGCTGTTAAAGTAGTTTTATACTATGAATTTGAAAGTTAAAAACTTAAAACTTTCAAAATATATGTAAAATCTTCTTGTGAACAAGTTTACTTAAGGTATTAAAAGTAAAGAACAATAGCTAAAATATACAGAACATATTTTATCTAATCTCAAAACTAATAATACTCCCAATACTACTAATACAATAGAATCTATAGAATGTACTTGAGACAAAATCCAAAATAGTATTATTACTACAGCACTTTAACATATTTCTAACAAAAAATTTATTACTCGTAACTTCCAACACATTTTCTCATCTAAGGTATCTAATCTCCATTATAATCTTAAAAAATTAGCAACATCATTAGACAAGTTAAACATTCTTTAAATGACTTAACACACATTTCTACCTATCATAACTCTACATTAACTTATTTTAATTCTTAACACCAACTTTATATCCCTAATATAACACTGGATTACTTCACACTGCCTAACTGGATATATACTGCAAACAGCGAATAGAAAGCCCTCTACCATGCCTGAAATATTAAAAATATTAAGAAAATCAAATAACAAATAGATGAAAATATCACCAGATGATGTAATAAGCTTCAATCCAACTCTACTTCTAGGATTAATAGTATACTTAACAGACCTAAAGATCCTGTTATATTTGATAATATCAAATCTGACAACCATGTAATTACAGACTCTAAAGAAATTAAATCTCATATACAAGAACATTTCAACCAGTAAACCAGATATAGAACAATCAATATACACTTATATAACACTACATAGACTACAGAATATAACACCAAACATAATATTAATACTACATAGTATCAATCTGCTCTTCAGAACTTTACTATAGATGAGGTTTCTCAAACTCTATCTCAACTACCAAATAACAAAGCATG